TGGCACATCCCGAGACTGTGCCTAGGGACAGTAATGTGACAAAACCCCTCTGTGCTCTGCTGAAACTCAAAGGCAAGTCTTGCACATAATAGCAAACCCACCTTCCTCTCTCCCCAGATTTGATTGACTGTCATTTTTCCTCTGCGAGAATTTGCATCATCAATAACATCATCATGAACTAGGCTAGCTGTGTGGATCATCTCAGCAATTATGGCCACAGAGCGCTGGCTTGCTTGCACCTCCCTGAAAGAAAACCCCAAGAACTGTCAATTAAATCAGTTCCATGTGCTGCAATACATTAAAAGAAACCTCTATGAAAACCAAACAGAAACACGTTTCTCTGAAAGCAGCTGTTGCAGCTTTTCCATGGTCTGAACCCCATCTTTCAAACCTGGAATTAGGAAGACAAAAGAAAGTGAGATCACATTAGTACAGTAAGTGCAATGGGTTGTTTCCATCCTTATTAGGCCTGTTTCTGCCTTGCTGCGTTAGCAGTACTGCAAAACTCCGAAGTTATTAACTCTAATCCCTCTAAATCCAGACTGCAATAAATAGCAGAGTATCAAGGATGCTTGGCTCCAAGCAGATGGAAATCTGGAACACAGCAGAGAAAAGAATGCCAGGTAGCTTTGTAGATGAGTTTAAAGTTTTCCTTTTCTCGGTGTTGCTCTACCTGCAAGATGCAGCATCACAAACTCTCCAAAGCTGGCTAACTCTGCTGACGCGCAGGCTGGAGAGATCAGCAGGCAGAGAAACCTGTATTCTGTATCTGAAAGCCATAGCTCATGGATCTCATCCTTTAAGTTACTTGACTACCTTAAGACCTCGGAAGTTTTTCAACAGCCTGAGGAATTAACTGGAATTATACTGCAATCACTTTAGGACTGTAAACACTAACTACCTAACACTTACTGAAATTCAGCCTTTGGGAAGATCTAACACTGATGATTCAACTCTCAGTAGTTCACACCTACTTTAATTTTTAAACTAGGTGAAAAGAAGAAAATGGAAGAACACAGAAGCAATTATCTAGGGAATAAGACTGGCGAAATGTACAGAAAAGAGCCAACTTAGCTCACACAGAAGAGCATTTACCCGACCTACCCAACTATCCAGCTACCACTGCCCTGTTCTTGTATCTATGGTTTTTTCTACCTGTTTTCATACCACGGGTTGTATGCAGGATCCCAGAAACGGCTATCCCAGTCAGCCTTGCCTTATAGTTGTAACAAGCCACATGGACAACATGGACATTAAAAACAACAAAGCAATGAAAGAAAGAAACAAGCCAACCCAACAAAATAGCAAAAAAAAACACACACACCCACACACCCCTCCCCCCCCCAACCAAAACCACAACCAAAACCAAATCCAAAACCCAAACCAAAAAAATCAGGAAAAATATTACTTACGGTACATAGAATCATGGAACAGTTGGGGCTGGCAAGGACCTTAAGATCATCCAGTTCCAACCTCACTGCCATGGGCAGCGATGCCTCACCCTAAACTATGTCACACAAGGCTCTATCCAACCCGACCTTGAACATCACCAGGGATGGAACATTTACCACTTCTTTGGACAACCTGTTCCAGTGCCTCACCACCCTTACAGTAAAGAACTTATATCTAAGCTGAGCTTCCTCTGTTTAAGTTTTAACCTGCTACCCCTTGTCCTGTCACTACAGTCCCTAATGAAGAGTCCCTCCCCAGCATCCCTATGGCCCCCCCCTTCAGATACTGGAAGGCTGCTATGAGGTCCCCACGCAGCCTTCTCTTCTCCAGGCTGAACAGCCCCAACTTTCTCAGCCTGTCTTCATATGAGAGGTGCTCCAATCCCCTGATCATCCTCGTGGCCCTCCTCTGGACTTGTTCCAACAGTTCCATGTCCTTTTTATGTTGAAGACACCAGAACTGCACACAACACTCCAGGCAAGGTCTCACAAGAGCAGAGTAGAGGGGCAGGATCACCTCCTTTGACCTGCTGATCACGCTCCTTTTGATGCAGCCCAGGATACGGTTGGCTTTCTGGGCTGCAAGCGCACACTGAAGCCGGCTCATATTCATTTTCTCATTCAACCAACACCCCCAAGTCCTTCTCCGCAGGGCTGCTCTGAATCTCTTCTCTGCCCAACCTGTAGCTGTGCCTGGGATTGCTCTGACCCAGGTGTAGGACCTTGCACTTGGCATGGTTAAACTCCATGAGGTTGGCATCAGCCCACCTCACAAGCGTGTCAAGGTCCCTCTGGATGGCATTCCTTCCCTCCAGGGTATCAACCGAACCACACAGCTTGGTGTCATCGGCAAACTTGCTGAGGGTGCACTCAATCCCACTGTCCGTGTCACCGACAAAGATGTTGAACAAGACCAGTCCTAACACCAATCTCTGAGGGACACCACTTGTTACTGGTCTCCAGTTGTACATTGAGACATCGACCACAACTCTCTGTATGCAGCCCTCCAGCCAGGTCATGCATTGCCTATGTCTACTGAATTCTAGTGATTAACCACAAAATGAAAGAACATCTTGCAGTCTGCTGACATAACACTGCGTTCTGACATCCACCTCTGTGCAGAACTCTGCAGTGCTGTTAGTGAGAGTTCTACACCCTGAACAATAGCAGGATGTGTGGCTCAGGCTGTGAAAATGTAGCTTTTTACACAACACAAAATAAGAGCTGGAAACCTTCACAGCTGTTTGAAGGTAAGTTTCACTATGGAATAGTAATTTAGTCAAATGCTAGCTCAGTGTAAGTAGTTTTCCAAAATAAACTATTGTTACTAAGCAGGAGAACTTACCTTCAAACAACTGTAAAGGCCTCCAGGCTCTTTCATGCACTGGACTCCTTTTGGGGACTCCCTTTTCATTAATTATATCAGCAGACTGGACTTCCTGCTGGGAAGCAGCAGCAAAGGCAAAACTCACCGACACACCAAAACCTTTCAGTAGTATGAAGACAGCACAAGAACGGACATTTCAAAAGCACGTTTTGAAAAGTTCTGCATTACAGTGCATTTCATCTCTGACAATGGCTAAAAATGGCATAGGAATGTTCATGGTCCATGTGTCTGGTTCCCAGAATGTTGTATCAAACATGATCATTTAACCTGAAGAGAGCTTTTTTTAACTACTATTTCTGCAAGGTCTCAAGCAAGGTTCTTCCCATCACAGGCAAAAAAAAAATCTGCAATAGTTTCCTACAAATATCTTGTGAGAGTAATTGTGAATCAGAGCATGCCTATTTGAGGGAAGACACACAAGAAACAGGATCTTTCTCATTTCCTGACATTTTGCATTCTGCATCGCCTGCAAAACAAAAGCAAAAAGTGGCAGTAACTCAAGTCAATAGATAATTGGGTCCCCACAAGTCCAGTAAGTGGAAAGATGCCATTTTTAGGTCATTCTCAAAGTAAAGCCACCCCCAGATGATATATATTTACACAAATTTTTTATACAACTTTGAGTTTATCTTTTTACACATGCATTATATTAATTTTGAAGTCCTTGATCATTTTCTGTATGTCAGTAGGACCCCCTGCTTGATTCTGTGATAAGCTTTTATAGAGCTACAGTATCCTGAGGTCTTTTCCATTACAGAACTTGTGTCATGGACACTGAACAAGACCAAAGCTGCTCTTACAGACTGGAAAGAATACCCAAACAATTACACCTCTACCTCCAAATACCCCTCTTCAAATTAAAGATAAAAATAAAAATAGGGGGTGAGAGGTGACCAGGACAGACTCAAACCAACACAAAAGAGTACTTACATTTTGCAACAAAGATTTGCAATGTGCTTGCCAGTAAGCAACTGCTGCCAGTTTAAAGACAGGAAACATGCAAAAGAACTTGCAAAATTGCTGTGTTATAACCACACTCCCAAAGTACGCTGTTTGAGAAACACAGTCTGTGACACAGAAGAACACTGCAAACTAAGGGAAGCGCAGAGAATGGATGTGTTAACAGGGGAGCAAATTACAGACCAGATGAAAAACCAGTACACAGTACAGATATCTGACAACCATGGTTTGGAGGAGTGAAAGAAAAGAGGACAAAGGTTGTTGGCAGGTCATCATGTCTTTAGAAAATATTATTTTATTGGGTTTAGCCGGGTGAATATATTGAAGTATTTCTCACACTATTCTGATGGATTTATTTCCCTTTTTACCCCTAAATCTTTAGTGCTATTTTCTCTATTGAGATGTCTCTGTACTTCTTTGGCCTTCTCTTACTTGCTCATCTCTCATTTTGGTTGCCAAAATAGAAATAAAACCTCCTATTTTTTCCCCCCCCATCACTTTTTTTTGGCTACTTTACAGTTTTCAGTAACTGCTTTGAATCAAGTCCATAAGTTTGTATAACATGCCAAAAATAGACTAATCTCAAGCCTCTATTACCACTTTGGCTTTCTGTATCACTTACTACTTAAGTGGTTTACAAGCAATTATAGACTAAGTCTTCCAGAGTCACTTGGAAGGAGCACTTCCTACCCCAATTTACAGAGAGAAATGGTGCATCGGAGAGAATCAGATCCTGGTTCACAGCATGCTGAACACCCACCTCCATGACCTGCAGAAAGGAGGCTGCTCTGCTGGTAATCTGACCTTGTAGCCAAGTGAGGTTTGTATTAACTGGACAAGCAAAGAGGCAGAGGAGCCCGCAGAAGTACACAGAGTGGGGAAGGGAGTGTATGCAATAAAGTAGATAGCATGTGGTTAACCCCTGTTACAGGTGGAGAGCTAGGATCAGGCTCTACAGTGCATACATGTGGCTGTTGTACAAAAGCTGGACAATATTAATTTAAACTGTTGAACATGAGGGGAGATGAGGGATGGCCATGAGGGATAAGGGGCCATTGTGAGGGGAGAGGAAGGGCGGCCACAAGGGAAGATCGTGAGGGGAAAGGAAGGGCAGCCATGAGGGGATATTGTGAGGGAAAGAAGGGGCAGCCATAAGGGAAGATCATGAGGAAGAGAAGGGGTGGCCCATGAGGGGAGATCATGGGGAGAAAGGAGGGGCAGTCATGAGGGGAGATAGTGAGGGGAGATGAGGGATGGGCATGAGGTGTGAGGGGAGAGGAAGGGCAGCCATGAGGGGAGATCGTGAGGGGAGAGGTGGGGCAGCCATGAAGGGTGAAGGGCAGTTGTGAGGGGACATTGTGAGGGGAAAGGAGGAGCGGCCATAAGGGGAGATTGTGAGAGGAGAGGAGGAGCAGCCATGAGGGGAGATCATTAGGAGAAAAGAAGGGCGGCCATGAGGGGAAATTATGAGGGGAGATGAGGGAGGGCCATGAGGGGTGAGGGGCTGTTGTGAGGGGAGATAGTGGAGAGGAAGGGCATCCACGAGGGAAAAATCAAGAGGGGAGAGGTGGGTGGCCATGAGTAGAGATCATGATGGGAGAGCAAAGGCAGACACGGGATGTGAGGCGTGGCCTTGAGCGGTGAGTGGCATTCATGAGGGGAGATCATGAAGGATGATTATGAGGGGAGAACAGGGGCAGCTGGGGGGTGTGTAGGGTGGCCACGGTGGGGTGTAAAGGTGGCAGCTATACAGTGTGGGCCACTATGGAGAACAGATGAGGGGTGGCTATGAGTGGAGATTATTAGGGGCAGCCATAAGGGGAAACCAGCTTGCCCTTAGTGCCATGGTTTAGTGGTGGCCTTGGCAGCCCTGGGGTAAGGGTTGGACTTGGTGATCTTACAGGTCTTTTCCAACCTAGCTGATTCTATTTGCAAACACCTCTGGAGAATACACTCTGAACAGAAACAGTAGGTCCAGTCAGGCTAAGTGATAATGCTATGAAACTCTGCACACAGGGCTGTGAAGAAATGCCAGAGCATGTGTGAAACTGAGGGTTTGCATGACCTCAGCTTATACTCCTTACAACAATTCTCACTCTTGCACAAAGCTAAGTTGTTATCATTAAGCAAAAAGCCATTGCTCAAGTGGCTCAAGCACTCAGGGTTGGACTTGTGACACTTGGATCTCCAAGGGAAAAAAACCCAAAATATACCAGCATAGAAAAACTGGAATGCTTCAGACACTTCTTCTGACAATAGTTCATATTCTTTAAACAACTGTCATTCTCCTTATTATAACTACAATAAGATGAACTCACTCTATAGAGAGACAGTTAACCTGCTGAGGGCATTCTAATTACCTAACCTTCCTCAACTCTAACCACGAACCACCTAACTTAAGCAGAGCTACCTGGGTGCTCCCCTCTATTCACTTGAGAAGTCTCAGCTGTTCTGGTGGGGCTCTGTGAAGATAGAGAGATCTCTGTGGACTGCCTCATAAGACCTATAACCTTACAAAGTTGTTTTCTGTTTTTTGAACAGCCAAACAAGGAAGAGTATTACCTTTTCTGCTACTACTGCACAAGAGGAAAAGGGAAAAAAAAAAACACCCAAAAAATAACAAATGAAAGAACAGACAAAAGCATGCTGGGTTCAGCAAGTTATATGACATTTGAGAACGGCAGCAAGATGAAGCAGGAACTCAACATCAGTAACACAAACCCCGGAGGCAGAACGAAAAAAAATGCTAGGGATGAACAGCACAGGATATTGTCTCACCCCACAAGTCTAGAGATGCTGTGGCCAGCATTTTTGATTACATGTGTGGGAACCAAAGCTTCAACAAAGAAAAACAAGTCTAGGAGAAGAATCAATATTAACTGAGGAAAAGAACAAAAAAACGCTTGAAGAAAAATGACAAGTTGAAAGAGAAAAAACAACTTAAAAAAAATATTTGTTGTGAGAAGCAGAACAGAAAGCAAGCTGGGTTTTCTTTTACTCTCAGGTCTATAGCAGAGTAACAAATACGCAGTGCTACCTTTCCTATATATACACTATTCCTCACAAACAGTAAAAAGCTGGAAGAACAACTTGTCACCTGAAAGCAAAACTGCTTTAAGAAACAACAATAATGAAACCAGTATCAGTATGAGCTGGAAGTATATGCAAATACAAAGCAGATGTAGCAGACTGCTTCAAGAAGCTTGAGCACAAGAAGTGGCATGAGGCAAAGCAGAGGAAGATATAAACCCTGGGATATCATTCTTTTCCTTTGCTGAAACATTTCTGTTCTCCCTACTCTGAATTTTATTCTAAAAATTATACAACAGAGATAGTGACTCTATCTGTCCTTTAACAAGGAATGTCCAGATTACTGAGGAGGCTTTTAAACATTAGACATAGTTTGGAGGTGCTGACAAAAACTCAACACAAAAGCTGCCAAATTACACGGGCATCTATAAATCAAAGTGCTTATGCTGAGGGTCAGCTACTGAGAAGCAAACACTTGCCTCAGGCATGTGTGGCCCTTGAAGTCCGAGATGACACTTTCTCACTGGCATAGGGCAGGTCTCAAAACTGACCCTCATGATTTGAAGACAGCATAAAGCATGGACAAGAATATGTCCATGACCGTACACATACGTCATAAGACAGCAAATATGCTTTGAGCACGTAAAGGCAAAAGCTACTACTTGTCTTTGCTTCGTTGCTCACCTCCTGCACTGTATCACATTAACTCCAGCCTTCTCAGTACTGCATGTACACTACACAATCTTGTTCATACATTTCTCATGCTACACACTAGAATGAGATAAAACTATTTTTCCTGTTACTCTGACTAGAAGGATGCTCCAAAACCTCATCGCCAGTTGTTGTCCTGATTATCTTTGCAGCCCCTCTCTGAAGCTAGCTGGACTTACCTATTTTGAATAGAAGGATCAGACATGTTGATGATTTCACAAGGTGTGATATACAAGGGTATCAGAACACCAGTAGCTGATCTGAATATATTATGGTTGATGCAAGCTAGGATTACTTTTAAGGCTTTTCATAGAGAAGGTGGCTAGAAATCATACGGGGGTTACATGTAAGGGGATACTCATGAGCCTCCCAGCTCAAGAAGAAGTTTCTGTTTAATTGTGGTGCCTTTCAATACACCTTGGGTGGCCAGTCATCAAGAATGACTCTGTCATTCTTGATTGTCATTCTGAATCATTCTGTCATCAAGAAGTGCCATCATCAGACTCCTGCTTTTCATGTCAAGATCACTCATGAAAACATTAACCCAATCAGCGCTGTGACAAAGGACATCCTTGATGAGTTTCACAACTGATATTGTTCCTTCTGCTACCTCTAAGACAATGACAATGAGCAGTGCTGACTGGAGAACAGAATAAGGCTGGCATGAAGTTCATTAATCCTAGACAACATTCCCCTAAAACAAGAGGAACTGGCACACACAGGACAGGACACTGCCAACTAGGTTTTGCTTTCTCCTCCAAAATGATATTCACACGGGAGGGGGTAAAATGGGAGAGGTGCCATATCAAACTGCAAAATATATGCTATGCTGTGGTAGAAATGAAGTCTAACAAGGCATTAACCTACTGCTAAGGAAAAAATGATGTGAGAGCTGAGAGAAATCCCTTAAGACTGATAAATTGGTCTGGAAACACTTCTGGCAAGGGACCAAAGATTTCGTATCTGAAATTTCGTAAGAAGGAAGACAGGAAGCGTAGCTGGAAGGCAGAGAACACTCTGCCCAACATCCTTCCTCAAAATGAGAAAGTAATAACTGATAGGAACGTGTGGAGAACTATTTGCAATCAACCAGAGCAAGGAGTGGTGGAGAGTACAGAGCAAGCATGATGTTCTGCTCAGTTAAAACTGCTTTCAAAAATCAAATAACTTCAAAATGTGAGGATTACACCAGCTCTAAGCTTAGAATCTTACACTGAAGTGTAGAACCTTGCTCCTAGGGCTTGGGGCAGGGAAATCTGACTTTTTTGAATGTCTCACAGTTTTGACTATAATTACACCACGTGCTTAATGGCTTTTCTGCATAGTGACAAAAAAAAGAAAAAAAAAGGTATGGAAGTCTCTTCTTGCAGCAAAGTTCTCACCTGTGACAAGAGTTTAATAGCTACATAATAGCTGCAGGACTGGTTACAAATGAAAAATAGTTCTAATTAAGTTAATATTTTCAAGGAGTAATAAAAGATCTAATCAAGCATCTATGTAAGAAGCTAAAATTGATTAAAAGCCTTACAAATATCAGACTTCTGGATTATTTATCCATCACCCATTACCTGTACAGTATAGTCCACAGTTTTATGCATAGAAATATGTAATAAACTCAGTAGTTCCTTTTGCACTGCTAATTACAAAAATACAGTTTCACAATGGAACTTGAACTCAGGTTTTCCTGAGGAGCTTTTTATTTTCAAAAAGGTACTAGACATGTATTTTTTTTGGAACACGAGAATGATAGATTTCAAGTACAGTACTTGGAATGAGGTTTAAACCCGGGGGAATAAAAGGGCAGATTTAGATTAGATATTATAAAAAAAAAAATTATTCACTAGGAGAGTACTGAGACACTGGCACAGGGTGCCCAGAGAAGCTGTGGATGCCCCCATCCCTGGCAGTGTTCAGAGTCAGGCTGGATGAGACTTTGAGCAACCTAGTCTTAGTGGAAGGTGTCCCCACCTGTGGCAGAGTTGGAACCAGATGCTCTTTAAGGGCCCTTCCAACCAAAACCATTCCATGATTCTATGAATATATGTCCATATATCTAAAAGTGACGGACTCACCTGGAATTATTATGGTGAATGTTGCAAGCCCTTGCCATTAGCACCACAATCATTGGTCGAAAGGCCTTTCCTTTCCCATCAAAGTAATAATCACACATTTCCTTAAGTTCTGCAGCAGATACAAGTAATTCCTATAGAAAGGAAATTAACATATCAGCATAGAAGTCTCTGTCATACAGATTTGATTGCCAATCTGTTTAGTGCAAGCAAAACAGTATTCATGTATAAAGTTATTGCCCATATTGCATTACGGCTCTGTAAGGTATGTAGAAATGCTCCCTTTGCCTTCAGTTTAAGTTTCAGACAGCTGCTCATAAAGAATATTCTTACAATAACTATACTCCAAAGCAATGGTTGCTATTAAAATCAGAATCATCACAACATCCCAGAACAGTCACCAAAATCCCTTACCTTTTTAATATCTTCATAGAGATTCTTCAAGTCTTTTCTACCAAGTTGAAAAGGGTCTTGGTATTTTTCATTACTAACTGTTTTACTGCAGCTGCACCAGTGGGAGGTACTTGTATGATGAAACCTGGTAACAGTGTTTTTCAAGAGAGTAATGATGTTAAAAGCAAACTTTCCCCAACACCCCAAACAGAAACATTTCAAAGCATTCCCTCCTCCTCCTCTGCCCTTGTGCAAAATTTAACCAAATGGCTAAAATATAAGTAGAAGGCATCAAAACACTCTTTTCAGCCAGCTAATAAAGTGCAAGGATGGCACAGATACGTACTGATGACTGCAGACTTTTAGGAGCTGGTAAAGTGCAGCATTTGGCAAACAATAACCCCCCCTTCACCTTTAACAGATTACACAAGTCTCCCGAGATACATAAAACTACATTGCTCTCAATGTATTCTTTTTGAATACACTAGTGATAGCATGGCATACGTTTGGAGGTGAAGCCCTCACTTTCCAGTAGCACATTTATTCTGTTTCTTCCCATTCTTGTATGATCCTGGAAAAAGCATTCCTGACACGGATTTGAAAATTTTTCTTTGCACACCCAGCTACATTATAAGTTAACTTAATACTTCCAGGTAGCACGATGATACCATAAAAGTATCACCAATAAAGGCTGAAAGCCCCACCTGGACGCAGCAAGATGCATCAGGCTTAGGCCTGATATTTTTTTCTGTAATGTTTCCTGGAGTTTAAATTTAAGTCTCTTATTATGTTTCCTTTTTCAGAGTGAGCCATGTGGGTTTTCTTGGGGCACTCTTGCTCTACCTGTTGCTCTCCAGCATGAAGGACTTAGATTCACACTCAGGACCATAGGAACAGTCTGTACAGAATTATCCAGTATGTACTAGAACAAAAAAGTTTACAGTTCACAGGCGTAACTATCCAGTTCACCCAATAACTACCTCTTTCCCCATTACACAACTATATGAATCTCCAACTTACCGCCAAAATATATTACATATTTTTGGAAATGACAACGTTGAATTTCTTTGGGTAAAGTGACAAATCTGCACAAAGGAAAATCAGGGTTAAATTAACTGTCAGAAAACATTTGATTACAAGAAATAAGTGTCTGTTTATCAACATTGCTCAGTTTCTCCATTTTAACTCCCCAGCAGCCAATGGAGTCTCATAATCTCTTTCCATATTACGAGACGTAACTGCCAGTATGCACATTAGCTTCTAACTTGAACTGACTCTTTCACTCAGAAGAGTTGGACTTTCTCCCCTTACAGGACCAACCTAGAAGACATTATCAGTTAACTTTCCAGAACTGCTCTAATGTAACCGTGCTTTTGCACTCATGGAAGGTGTGATTTCCAAACTTCCTGCCCTGCAGATAAACCTGGACTGTACCAGTCAAGGCACAGAGAAAAGGACAAGAGCTGTTTCTGTAAAATACTACACTAACAGAAGAAGAACATGTCCATATTTTCCCCTGAAGCAATTTTAATTCAGCCTGCTTCTTATGAAAATTTACACCTCTACATCTTCTCTGCTACCACGTCAAGAACCTGACCTCCAAACTTAGCAACCTCTCCCCGCAGAGCTCAGGAGCCTGGGGAAAGGTGAAGTCCCAGGTCCAGATTCCAGCAGAGACAGGCTGAGAAGGGAAAGGCAGCCTTTGCTCCACTCCCAGTAGTGCTGCCAGGAAGTACCCAGCCCTGCCCTGGAGTACACGCTGACTCAGGGGCCCAGCCATGTGGACCCAGCCCAGTATCATTGCAATCCACACACTTCACCAAACTTCCTCTTCAAAAGCCTGTACAGAAATGCTCAAGGAGACCTAGAACTGGAGAAGGATTCCCTCAATTTGCTCCTCATAGCTCAGTGTCTCCTTGCATATGCCCAAAGCCTCTCTCTCCTTGCACATAGCAGGAGACAAAAAGAGCACCACACCCGCTCCAGGGCACCCTTCCATCCAAATTGTGTACAGGGTAAAAAAAAAAAAAAGCCACACAAGGAAACGAGGAAAGGAGAGGAAGAGGAACGAGAGGTACCGCAACTTATCACAGGTTTGCAGCTCCCCGCTGTCTGATTCCAATGCCCAGATCTATTGCCAAGACCCTCATAAGCTCACCCTCTCGCCATTTTCTGCTGTTAAAAGAACAGGTGACCTCTTCCTATTCCTTCTTCTGTAAGGGTACAGGCTCTCTCCTTTACACTGCTGCTTAACGACATGGGACTGGGTCATGCACCACTCTAGACACACCACAGCCAGAACACTTTACTGCAGGTCAGAACAGTAACCTGGCCTTGTGAAGGAGGTGTGAACGAATGCAGTAAGAGACCTGCCTCCCCACTACAACTCACCAAATTAACTTATGCACTAACACACTGAAAACCTGTCACTAAGAAGAACCACTTTCTCTGCTTCCACTTACAGCTCCAAGAGGTTGTTCCCCACAACAGCAACCAATCCTGCCCTGGAAACTCTTAAGCCAGTACTTAACCTTGCACCGAAAGCGCTCCTACCCCCTGCGAGGCCCCCGGCCCGGGCTGTGCACCGCCTGCCCGCTCACCGACGGCCCTCGGCCACCGGAACCGCCTCCGGGCCTTCGCGCTCCCGGGGCAGGAGGGAGGACGTAGGCTGTGACCGCCCGACCCCGCCGGCCGCCCGGCTCCCCCCGCCGCCGCCGCCCCATTCATTCCCGGTGACCTCCAGGCGCCCGCCGCCGCGTCTCACTCACCGCCGCGCTGGGGGCCGGCGGCAGCAGCGGGGTGCGGGACCCGGGCCCCGGCGGGCGGAGGCGCGGTAGGGAGCCGAGCGGCTGCGGCCAGCGGGAACTGGGGCCGCACCGCCACCACCATCGCAAGGCCATGGTGTCCCCCAGCCCCACCGCGCCGGCACCGCCTTCCGGCACCGCCGCGACCCGGACGCGGAAGCCAGGGGCCGCCACCACCCTCTGGCACGGGTGCCGGGAGGACATCCGAGCGGGCGGGGAGGGCCCCTTCACCTCGGCCTTCCTCACCTCGCTTCCCGCCGCTCCCTCGGGAAGCCGAGCGTGGCTGAGGGCCGGGAGGTAGAGCGGCACCATCTGGCAGGGCCCGGTCTCCGCTCCCGGCTGGGACGGGACAGGGCTTGGGCCGCAGTTCAGCGGGGATCCGGCTCTGCCAGCCTACGAGTAGGGGCGGCTCTCCCAGCCCCGGCCCCGGCACACCCATAGCGGGAATGGCCGCTCTGAGCTTCCCGCTCGGAGGAGGCACCAGCCTCTCCTGACGTCTCTGTGAAGAGATCAGAAAGGAGGGCTTGTTTTGAGGGCAGGGAGGCTTCGAGCCGGTTTCTTACGTGAATTGGTAAAGGCGAGGTCTGGGGAACATGGAGCTGTGCGCCCAGCACCCTTGTGCGCCTCCCGAGGGCTCTACCGAGCCCCTCGAGGCCTGAACAAGACGCGGCCGCAGAGCTCTGCGCATAGTCCGTCTCCGAGAGCACCCTGCTCCGCCCCGGGGTTTCTCCCTTGTACACCCTGGTCTACCCTGGTGCTGTTGTTTAGTGGATTGTAGTAGCTACGGAAGCAACAGCGAGTTAGATATTAGGAAGAAATTCTTTACTGTGAGAGTGGTTAGACACGAACAGGTTGCCCAGACAAGTTGTGGGTTCCCCATCCCTGGCAGCGTTCAAGGTCAGGTTGGACAGGGCTTTGAGCAGCCTGGTCTAGTGGAAGGTGTCCTTGCCGCCCATGGCCGCGGTTTGGAACTAGATGTTTTTTAAGGTCCCTTCCAACCCAAACCATTCAGTGATTCTAAGTGAGGACCTTATATACACAGATACTGCACTAAAGTTAAAACTAGATTGGCAGTAAGGATTCTCTTTTCCCTTCCCTTCTTATTAGCAATTTAGTAATTTAGCAAATAGTAATGGAGAGATATGCAAGTCCTAATGATGTGTTAATGCGAAATTGACAGCCTGACACCTGATTGGAAGAGCATAAGCAGTATAGCTTTCAGGCATACATAATTGATTATAATAACAAAGATCATTTATGTGATAACATTACAGAAATAATTTTTGCAGGCGATGCAATTACTTCCAAGCATTAAGAAATAATAATTGGTGATATGTCTTGTGGCAGCTGGGTGTAACAGGGTTTGTCATTAGAGGTATTGAGAAACATGGCTAACAGCTCTCCAGAGGTGCTAACTAAGGTACAGTTTTTACCAAACAGGGACTCTGAGGTACTGGGATTTTATAACTAACATGGAATCATAAGATTGTTGCAAGCAAAAATCCATAAAGGTGTTAAAACACACAGTATTAGTTCAGGGTTTGAAAACAATATTTGTCCTCTGTTACCATTGTTCACGGCAAGGAGTAGGTGTGAAGGAAGAATGAAACACGTTTTTTCAGTATATATGTTGTACTACAGCAAGAATTGCATCTTCTTCCATTCGCTGTTTAGATTACTGAGAGAAGATTTCAAGCTGGTTTCTTAGGTTACTTGGTGATAGTCGCTGCACATGGACAGTATATACCATGGTTACTGGTGCACAATGACTTAATGTGTGGGGTTAGCTGAGCTTCTCTGTCTCATATAAATATCTTTTAGGGTGGCATATAACTGAGTGCAATATAAAACTGTTCCGTGACTGTTCTAATCAGTTAATTAAATCAATGTTTAAGTATGTTTTTTATATCTTAAAACTAGCATGCTTTATCAGGTTCTTTAACTGCATAATTCAGTCCTTCTTTTCAAATATCTCAAATAGAGTAAAATTCTTGCTTGCATGTAGGTTTAATGTACATTTGTTCTGGGTTCAGCAGTAGCAGTCATTTTTCTCCTTCTTGGTAGCTGGCGCAGTGCTCTGTTTTGACTTTTGGCCTGGGAACAGAGCTGCTAACAATGATGTTTTGGTCTGGCCAAGGACTTTGTGAGCCTCATGCTCTGCCAGGGAGGAGGGGAAGCCGGGAGGAAGCAGAGACAGGACACCTGACCCAAACTGACCAAAGAGGTGTTCCATACCACAGCATGTCATGCCCAGGATGTAACTGGGAGTTACCTGGAAGGGCTGGTAGGACTGCAGGGTGGGAGGAGGTATTGATCAGTGCTTGGTCGGGCTGGGGGGGGGGGGGGGAGTTATCTGTCGGCTGGTGATGAGGTTACGTATTCTCTCCCCTTGTTATTTCCTTTATCATTATTATTATTGGTGGTAATAGTAGTGGTTTGTGTTATACCTTAGTTACTAAACTGTTCTTATCTCAACCCAGGGGAGTTGCATTCTTTTTTGATTCTCCTTTCTGTCCCTCCGGGAGTAGGGGGAGGGAAAGAAGGGGGGGAGTGAGTGAACAAGCTGCCTGACTGGGTTTAAACCACGACAGCATTGTGGTAAAGAGTCAGGTTTTAATTGTTTCTGAAGTATTTTGATTGGATTTAAGAGAAAAGGTATTAAGAATAATATGATTACTTGTTTTTAAAAACATTTCTTGACTCTTTCATGTTTGCAGATCCTTTTCCAATTGATGTGATCCAGGCAAATTGATGTGATCCAGGTGAGGCGTTGCATTTTTTCAGTTGTCTATCCTACACCCTTTAAATCTAGAGTTCATTTTGTAGCTGTTTCAAAGGCTGGCTATTTTATTTTTTTTTTTAAATTCCTCTCTAATTAATAGAGATTGTTAATACATGTTCTAAAATATACCTTAATATTCATATGCTATTTATTGTGAAAGCGTCTTATCAATACATACTTTAAACACATAGAACATTTAAAACATATTGTCAGATGTCTCTTCATAACAAAATCTGTAGAGAAAACACATTCATTACCACTGAAAATATGACCATCTACAAGTACCATCTGTATTACTTTTTTCTCCAGGAAGTTCTTGAAAATATTTAATGTCTCTCAAAGGGACATCTGATTTTCTTCAGTTTGTCAGTGGTGGGAAAGTGATAGTTGGGTCTCTTCCATTGGCCCATAGGTATGGGGGCCATCATGTAACTGTGGCACTCAGTCTTCCAGGTGGAATTATGTAGGTTTTCATGTGAATTGTATCTTGATAATACCTGTAAGAGCATATGCCTGTGAGTATATATATTGAGGAACATTTTGCTTGCAGATTTGTTCTTCATAAGGGGCTGCAGATGGAAGAGAACTATGATATTCTTTCATGGTACCATGTCTAGTTTCTATGCTTATGTTTATGTCAGGAGCAAATTATCTTTTTAACCTCTGTTAGCTGTGGAGCCTTCTTAGCACCACTGCAGCCTAACAAGCTCCGATTCATGATAGGTATTATCAGCTTAGAGGAGTGAAGAAGGGCAAAGCCTCACTGCAATACCGTGATTACTAAGAGTTAAGTTTCATAAAATTATTCATGGAGAAGAATAGTAGAATTTGATTTGTAATTTCCAATTAAGAAAAAAATTATAACTTGTGTCAGTTTAGAGGCTCATTATACAAAAGAGACAGAGCTGTAGCTGTGCATCATAGCTGGAAGGTAGAGGAAAAACAACAACAAAGGATTATTGGTGTTATTCTTTTTCTGTGGTTTTCTGATTCATTATTGGTGTGGGTGTGGAAATACAGCTTTAGGGATCAACATCTTAATGACTACCTGAGCAAATGTCTCATTATATTGTGTAGATCACAGAGAACCTACGTGTAGCTTGTACTGTTTTCAGTGTAACTGCTATAAATGATAGAATAAAATAACTTGATTTTAATTTTTTGGCAGTTTGGCAGCTGGGCAGGTCAGCTGGGTGATGAAGAGCCCACTTGATCGGAGTATATTCAAGTAGGTGTGACTTTTAAGTGACTGATTCAACTTGGTATTCTGTTTAGCTGGTTCGTGGATAGCTCAAGGTATATTGTTAGAAGTGTTAATGCTACTTTTGCAGGCATGCACTTAAAAGGGTCAGGAAGGACCCCGTGCTCCAGGCAAGCTGCAGTTAATCTATGTACACCCAAAATGGATGTTTTCTCTTTGAAATTTGGTTTGATTTTATGACCTACTCCTTGTTTCTGTATTCTTCATATGAATGGCAATGGAAGAGCTGTGCTTTGTTCTTTTATGTGAGAGTTTTTGTGTAGTGAGGCCATGCACTATCTTGGAATTCCTACAGGCAGAGCTGCTATGTGTTTTTTTCACGGTACCTAGTTTGCAGGTAATTTTGTACCTGAGTTTCAGTGAGCATCAATAAAGCAGGACAGTATTTCTGTTTCCAGGAGGGGAGATCTTTGGTTTCATATGTGTACAATCAGAAACAAATATGCCCCTCCATTTTCACAGATTTTTGGATAAAACTTTGCAGTAATAATGAGCTCCAGCAATTAATCTATTCACTTTTGTCTTTGGTATGCTTTACAGTATTACTTTGTTTAGATACAATATTCTGTACTGTTTCTTTCTTGCAGTGAACTGCTCTTGTTCACTTGTAGAACTGAATTACCTTAATCTGAAATCTGGTTCATTTTGTAAAGAAAGTTTAAAGTGAAAGTTAGATCAAGTGTTTATATCTGACACTAATTTCCCTCTCCAGCTTTTATGATACTGCAATCAGGAGTTTCTTCTCTTAAAAATAATTCAGAATTGTTCTCTACCTTGTTACTCACCAAAAGACCTGTAAAACCATCAGGACTAGACTGCTGCTTTGTAAAGAATAATAATAATAATATCTTTAGCATATGTGGATAATCAGTGAGTCTATTAATACATTTTTATATGGTTAATAAATGAGTCTTCTGTTACACTAGAGCTAAGCATTTGGATGTATTTTTCTAGAATCAGGAAAATATTGAAAGTGGCTAATTCTGTATTGGCATAGTCGTCTAGTTGTAATTTTTATGACTGGTAGGAAAAATGTCAGATGGATAGGTGTTAATATTGGAAGTAGGACTGAATGTAGGTATTCCTTATTTGTGCAAACACCTCTTGAGCAGAAAGGGAGATTTTATAAACAAAAATAATTTAAAACTAATTCTGTTTTAACCACAGAAACATATAATCACAGAATGGTTTGGATTGGAAGGGTCCTTAAAGACCATCTAGTTCCAACTCCTTGCTACAGGCAGGGCCACCTTCTGCTAGGTCAGACTGCTCCAAGCCCAGTCCAACCTGGCCTTGAACACTGCCAGGGATGGGGCAGCCACAGCCTGTTCTAGAAGACCACCAAATTTATCAGGCACAATTTACCCTTAATTGAAGCCATGTTGGTTGTCATCAATCACCTCATTTTCCATGTGCTTTAGCTCAGTTTCCAGGAGGATCTGCTCCATGTTCTTGTGGGACACTGAGATGAGACTGGCTTGTAGTTCCTTGGATCTTTTTTTTTTCTCTTTTTAAAAGCTGGGGTTATATTCACTCTTTTCCAGTCAGTGGGAACTTCACTGGACTGCCATGACTTCTCAAATAGCAGAGTGGCTTAGCTACTTCATCCACCAGTTTCTTCAGCACCCATGGACTTGTGCACCTTCAGGTTCCTTGGATGGTCCTCAACCTGATCTCCTCCTACAGCAGTTCTTCAATCTCCTAGTCCTTGCCTTTGCCTTCTGAGACTTGGGCAGTGTGGCTGGAGCTCTTGCTAGTGAAGACTGAGGCAAAAATGTTGTTGAGTGCCTCAGCCTTCTCCATGTCCTAGGTAACCAGGTCCCCTGTTTCCTTCTGGAGAGGGCCCACATTTTTCTTTGTCTTCTTTTTAACCCTCCTGTACCTACAGAAGCTTTTCTTGTTGCCCTTGATGTCCCTGACCATTTGTAATTCTATCAGGGCTTTAGCTTTCCTGATCTCTGGCTGCTTGGTTATTTTCTCTGTATTCCTCCCATCCTTGCTTCCATGCTCTGTAGCCTTCCTGTTTGTGTTTATGTTTGTGCAGGAGCATTTTATTTATCCATACAGGCCTCCTGGCAATTTTGCCTCACTTCATTTCTGTTGGGATGCATCACTCCTGACCTTGGAGGGGGTGATCCTTGAATATTAACCTGCGTTCTTGGGTCACTCTTCTCTAGGTCATCTTCTTTATCCCATGGTATTCTATCAAGCAGATCCCTGAAGAAGCTGAGGTCTGTTCTGCTGAAGTCCAGGGCAGTGAGCTTGTTGTGTGCCTTCCTTGCTGCCCTAAGGATCTTGAACTTCACAGTTTCATAGTCACTGCAACCAAGGCTGCTCTGGAGCTTCACACTCCCCATCATCCTCTCCCTGTTGGTGAGAACAAGGTCCAGCATAGCCTCTCTCCTCATTGGCTTCTCTGTCACTTGGAGAAGGACATTATTATCACTGCATTCCAGGACCTCCTGGATTGCTTATGCCCTGCTGTGTTATCCCTCCAACAGGTATCAGGGTGGTTGAAGTCCCCAGTGAGGATCACAGCTTGTGAAAATGTGTCTGCTCCTGTCTGTCTATATAGTGCCTCATCCCCTCGGTCTTACTGGTCAGGCAGCCTGTAGCAGAACCCCACTATGTCACCTGTCCCTGCTCTCTTTTTAATCCTAACCAATAAGCTTTCTGTTGGCTCCTCATCCACTCCTCATTAGAAGACTAATGCATTCATTCATTTGGATGATTTTCTCAAAACTAAGCAAACTGATTTTTTTCAGGTGATTGTGTTTAAAATGTCAAGTTTGTTTTGTGTTCCAAGTAGTCTGATATATGTAATCTGGTATTTCAGGCTTTAATGAAAGTAAATGTTCTGCAGAAAAAGCCTGTACTCAATTGCCACATTGCTAGGTGTCTATATTTGCAAAGTGTCTGCAAACCTCTCTAGCATTAATTTTAACACATTTCATTTGTTCTGTTGAAGTGCGGTGTTTGTAAATGACTTTTTTGATGATTTATTCACTGACTTCGCCTTGAGACCCTTTGCTGTTTGCTGTTCATGTAAAACTTTAAATCTGTCTGCATATCAGCAGACAGCATCTGGCAAGGTTATAGCCTTTTTTGGCTGTCTCAACAAAATGTTCAGCGCAAAACCAGTATGAAATTACGCCTTAGCTGTGCACGAATTCTATAGAGTACACAGTGTGCTTTAGTTCTCTGCTGGCAAATTTGTTAAATGCCTGGCTCTTAACTGCTGTACAGCCTCTCCAGACTGTTTGCAAGACTTCATTTGGAAAAAACCCTGCTGATACCCATATTCTTCCCAATAGGGAGCTGTTATACTGAGGCTGGTAGGATGCACTTCTAGAGGTCTTGTCAAGTCTTGGCAGAAGTGTGGGGAAAAGCCTTACGGCTTATCCCAGAACACCCAGCAGGTTGGTTTGCTCTATTAATTTTAAGTACTGTGTTCCCAATGGGGTGCTACAGTTTATGGTTGTACTGCCAAATAAAGAACACTTCTTCATATGGTACCTTTTTAATCACATACTGGGACTATCAGTGAGCAGTGTTATGCATTAGGTCAAAAAAGTGAGCCAATCTGCATAGTTTTCAGAGTGGCCTTTACTTTCGTTGAGCTTGATGTTCATGCAAAACAGCCAGCAGAGCACTTGGGAGTGTAAAGTCCAGCCCTTAAGCTAGAACCAGGGGCAGGGAGGGATATAATCTGTCCTTCTGTGAGTGTTGTTCCAGCTTCTCTGGTGTAAGAGCAATTTCAGTGCTCCATAAACTGTGATTGAGCGTACGTCTGGTCTCCTACTGCCTTTCCTCAAGTAATGTACTTACCAACTATAGGGAATGTTTGAAAACTATTTTTATAGTAGGGGTGTATGTATCTTTACAGGTTTCTGATTGCTAAGGGTCCTAGATCTGTCCCCAAAGTTCCTGAGACCACAGTTTTGGCTCAAGTAAAAGGCAATCTCCATCTGATGCAAGATTTTGGTTTCTAATTTCTCTGTCCTAACTTTGCTGTTGTCCTTGGGGAAATTGTGACTTATACTTGTGACTCATCACACTTATATGTCACTGAGATTCCAAATGAATGCAGGAGTTTTTTTGAATGCAACCGTGTCTGCAAGATGGGGGTAAGTAATTGAAATTGGACAACATTGTATTAATACAAAATAAATGTATCTTGCTAATGAAGCTTGGTAAGCCTCAACTTACTGTTTGCCAGCGTCATTTATAATATGCCAGCAAAAAAAATCCTTCTTTTTATTAAAGAAATAGTTATACGAAATATGACTTGATCTCTATTGTAAATTATTTTTTCCTGAAATAAGTTAATGTTTATTCCTTGCTTGTTACAGCTTAGTTGTAAGTGGTGGTGATGTGTGAAGAGACCAGCTTCATCATGGAAATATTAAGAAAGAGGTAATGAACATATTTCAGAATAATAGGAATAATATGTTGCAAGACTGTAACGTAATTCTCCATTGCAAAAATGAATCTTAATATGTCATCTGTGTGTATTAAAAAGTACTAACTAGGCTTCATTTCATTTATTAAGATATAAAACCTCTTCAGATAAAATCAGTCTGAAAAATGTCATAGTTAAAGAAATGAAGCCCTATGAACAGATCTATTATGACTGTGGCATATGTTTTGTGGGGGTATAATTTTTATTTTCACCTGCCATTACAAAAATGACACTGAAAACTAGGGAAATTTTCCATTGTTCTGATAGCAGTACTAGGATTATGGGAACAATACTGTGGCTGTGCCTCTGCTAGATCATCTACACCTGCTCTGAAAAAGAGTGGGATGACACAGTGTGGGGAAAAAAATCTGCTTATGCTGGTTCTTCCTTTGTTTCTAACGTCTCTGGAGTAACTCTGATATTAATGCAGTACTGGAATTTTGCCTGTGTCTGCTGGTGTAGCAAATTAAGCTTTATCATTAAAATTGTGTTGTAATGTAGTATTATACATACTCATCTGCTGTGCATTAAGTATACTTGCAAAGATACCAGTTTGACTACGCATGTATAAATTCTGTATCTATAGAAACAACAGATGACAGCTTTTACTATGGAACTGTGTTATTTTGCTCATACTCTTGTTTACATTTAAACACATGTCTGTATTTAAGGTGCAATAGTGCTACATCTTGCCAAATCATGGTTTTATACAGGATCCTTAGAAATCTTAGGTCATTCTGGGGGATTGGCCTTACAAAGGTTTGGATTTAATCTTCATAGTAACTATATTATTTTTCTTAACAATCAAATATGTATTAGAATGTGTATATACAGTTGGAATTAAAACATAAATTACTTAGAAAGGAAGATTGCATAATTTAGAAAGATAACCTGATGGTTTTATGCAAGCATAAAAAAGATCTTACCTCATAGGGGTAAAACCACTTAGGTCTGGATCTTACAAAATGAGCAGAGTCTTACAGCTGAAGTAGTTCTGCTAACTGAGCACTAGTGGGGTAGTTGTTTGATTTGGAAAGATTTGTAAATTTAAAGCATAAGTTGCTACATTTCTCATAGTTGCCTGTGAAGCTGAATTAACAGAAATATGAAATAAATCACTGGGATAAGTATGTTGTACAAAGTATTCTCCAAAAACATGCAGAACCACAGAAGTATGTGTGTCAGGCAATTAGCATGACAAATTTTTGGTCTACTGTAAATATTTAAAAGTTGGTCATTTTTCCTCAGGAGCAATACAAATTGTTCTGGGGTGCTTAAAAATGGGCAGCAGATGTACATTGTAGTAACTGATAATTCAGTTTAACTTCCAGCATCTCTCCATACTCTTTTTTTTTTAAATCTCACAGCAGATTTTAGTTTTAAAACTGAAAGACTGAATTAAAGAGCAGGTTTTAAGTTTTGCTTTGGTTTGGTTTGGATTTAAAGCACATGTAAAGATCAATTGTATTTACACAAAATAGACAGCTCCTTTCTGCCTGTTTTGGAGGAGGCCTCACCAAGGCTAGTGTGACTGTGCTTCCTCCTCAGAATTGGTCCTCCTGAGAGAGGATGCTTTGGAGCAACCAGCTAAAATCCAGAGACACTCGGTTGGACACCCTTCTGAAGGTTAAGTGCTAGGTACTCTGATAAAATCATCACAGTTTGAGGAGAATTCAGTGATTTGCCCCAACAATCTGATTAGAAGGTAGAATCTAGACATTTGTGTGTGTAGCCACACAGCCTTTGCCCAGGTCCAATCCTTGCCCAGGCTACTCTACCCCACATGTAGATGGTGCTTACAGCTTCCTGTGTCTGGCCCTGGCTGGCTCTGACCACAAGGGTCAGAGCTCCTAAGTGTACAGGGAGCTCCTAAGTGTACTAAATGTCCGCAGCTCCTCTTTAAAGCTTTGTATCTTCAAAGATGTCTTTTTTAAAAAGTTATTTTCTGCAAGCATGTGAAGAAAAATTATACAAATCTTTTCAAAGTTTCAAGTTTTAGAAGGTTTTTAAATTTGAAATAAGCTTCCAGGCTTTATTAGCTGAAGTTTGTTAATTCTTTTCAGTAAAACTGCTTCTTGAAATCTTTTTTCTCTCAAGTATGTACATTTTCCACCACTTTTCATTGGGGAAATGTTTATTGGGAAGCTTTCATTATCTGTTTCTTTTTTTTTTTTTCTCTTTCTGTTCGGATTTCAAGTGAACAGTGTCCATAAAGTGATGAATTTTCTCTTGCTAATATAAATTCGGTCTATATAGTATATACTCTGGTATGTATAGTGTCTTTATTTCTTCTTTTCTACTCTTTAATTGCTTTTAGGGCATACGTATGTACTTATTTAACCATATATAGCCTTTTCTGGTAAGGCTGTTGTGCAGTTGCTTAACTTAGAATGTGAATGAAAGGTCCTGACAGAGATATTCATTTAAAAATAGAATGTATGACATATTTCTAAAGTGAATCAAATGTTTATGATATTTCTTGTATTCCATATTTTTGATTCAGAGGACTTGATGTAAAAGATGTGTTGATTTTAGGAATTTTTCTCTGCAGTCGTCTATTGGAGACTGCAGATCTGATTGCATTGTGGATGTCTGTGGGGTTTGCACATGGTAAGCTGCAGCTGATAGCATTGGCTTTACAGGAGTAACTTTTAATGGTCATATACTTAAAGATGGCTTTTATTTGTCACTTTGTTCTTCAGTTCTTCTGATGTCTTTGTCTACAGCAGTATCTGTTATGCGTTAATATAGAAAGGTGTTTTTTTTTCAGCTGGAGTACATTCCAGTCCTTCAAATCATGAGTGTTTCTGACAGAAGCAAGAATATAGGAGCAATAGTTCTCAGAATTGTTGGGATAGTCTGATGTACAAAGACCATATGTTAATGTCATATAGAAGTTTAGTTGCTCTGAATTTGATTAAAAACATGGCCTTTTATAGTGAATAGGATACAGTGCTGACCACCTTTCCTTCAGATTTATATTATGAATAAGACAATAGCATTGTCTTGCTAATACAGCACGCGGCGAACTTGCAAGGAAGCAGCTAATCACCGATTTGCAAGACGCTGTTTCAATGCTGTGCAGCACTGAAATGAAAAGGGAACAGTGCCACCTAGGTATAGAAATCAGATGCAAGATAATGCAGTAACAGGTTCTCTTTTTCGTCCTTAAAATACATGTCAGGTCGAGTGAGAGAGACAGCTTGATTTTCTAGAGTCTAATTTCTGAAAGGTAACTGCTCCAAAGTTCTGCAGATTCAGTGTATCTATTTCACAGCAGATTTTATATCGACCACACAGTTCAGGTAGAAGTTTAACTTCTGTTTCTTCTTGTTTAATTGTAGGTGTGTACAATACAGATAACTTCAGTTTATTATCCATAACAATAGACTATGATCCATTTGGATTTATGGATTCTCATGACCCAAGTAAGTGTACCACCTGCTTTTAAATGTATTTTTTTACTTAAAATAAATTCTTTATGTAGTTTCTGTATACGTAAAAACTAACATTATTAGGAGTTTTAAGAGATGTTTAAAGAATTTGGGGGGGGGGGGGGAATTATCAGAGGCCAGTTCCATGGCAATCCAAGGCAATTTTAATGAAATATCACTACTAACCCTATTTTCATAAGTGTTTCCAGTTGAACTTCATGAATTGAACAGATGTTACAACAGAAACCTAGAAAATTAAAAACTCTGTTGCTGTAAACAGCCAAAAGCAAAAGTGTCATATAATAACTTTGCATGCATCATGTTCTAGCTTTATAGTCACAACAATTACATGTTGGATGAAAACAAATCAGACCAACACAGCCATGGCAATGTTTCTTTGAAAGTATGAATTCAGTCAGTCTGGGATTGATAGATATCGGTCCAGTATATACATAAATGCATATTATTTGATTACTCAGATGCAACCTATAAATAATAATCTTCAGAGTCAGTTGTTATCTCGCTGTTTTTGTGAGATTGCAGCCTCAAATTAAGGAAGTCTCATGAGAATAAATGTTATATTGTTTCTATTGTATTTGAAAAACAAAGAAACAAACAAAACCACAGGGCTTTTCTGGTTTTCGATCTGGTGGATTGACCCCAGTTAGCAATTAAGAACCCACTCAGCCACTTGTTGACCCCCCCTTCCCCGCTGCAGGTTGGGGAAGTATATTTATATACTTTAATATATTTCCAAATAATAGATCTTGAGTTAATTCACTGTAAATAAGTAACCTTGTGATCTAATTTTAAATATTTAGCAACTTCAGGGCTTTTATTAGTTTGCTATGTAAATATAACAGTGGATACACGTCAATATTTTAACATTGATTGTTTATTGTAATTACTCTCTTGTGGAAAAGTAATGTTTTGTTTGAGACAGATCTTGTTCCAAACACGTCTGATGATGAAAGGAGGTATAAAATGGGAAACCAGGCAAATGTTTTGCTGTTTAATCTAAGCAAGCTGTTACAAGCTCTAAAACCTTTATTGGATCCCAGGCAAAAGCAGCTGTAAGTAATCCTTAAAATATCTTAATGCTTGAAAGAACTAGTGAGATGGGAGACCATCTAATCACCGTATGCATAGGAAAGAAAGGGATTAGCCTTTAAAAATCTTCTTTTCTAAGTGGAAATTGGTTCTGAAGTAATTATTGGCAGAGTAAGGTTGGAGGAAGGGGAGAAAGGTTTTCATTAGCCATAAATAATAGCAAAATATGACTGGCAGGTGGTCCTAGATGTTCTGTTGTCCACTCTCTTTTCACTAAGGTAGGTTCTTTGCCCACAGTTTTCTATTCTAAGTTTGTCTAGCTTGTTCTCTAAGATGCTTACTGATAAAAACCATGCATCCTCCTGAAGTAATGAGGTAGTATTTTAATATCCTATTGTAAAGATTCCTGATATAAACCTTCAGTTGTGCAGTTTAAACTCATGACATGTTACTCAGTATGAAAAGGATTTTTTCTTCTTTGCAGCAGCTGTTTGTATATTTGAAGCCTGTGAAAGTGTTTCCCCTCAGTCTTTTTCCCACTACAGATCCCAGTAGATTCAGAATAACAATGTTTGTGAGATACCAGTCAGAAGAAGTTTTGTTTAGTGTACAGTAGGATTGTACTCATAATAATATTTTAGTTCCATAGATCTGACATTGCTTTTGTTTTTGCAGAGCTTCCCAGGTTTTGAAGTAGTATGGTGACCGCTATTACATCCATATGCAGTTCCAGAACTCAAACCTCCTTGTCACAATAATATAAATAATATTATGTAACAGTTTCCTTACTTTGTTAGTATTTTTCAGCTTTACAGAACTATTTAAAACAAATATGGGTCTTGGGGAGAATGAGGATGATAATTATTTGATTGCTTTCCTCCTAAAAGTGAGTTTGCTTTGCTAATTTTGTTGGGAAAGTTCTGAACGGATACCACATATTTCAAAACCACTGATGGAATTATCTTTATTTCACTAGCTTATGGAAGATACAAAGGCTGACCTCACATTGAAATTACTTTTCAATGTAAATGTCATTGAAATAATATTTCGACAGCTCAGTGAAACTACTGAAGACCAGTTAAAGGAGCTCCACATTCCTGAGGTATTAATATAATAATCCAATTTTAGGAATAGTTAAATGAGTAAAGCAAGTTGGACATAACCCTGATATAATAGAGGATGTCTCAAGCCATGATTTGTCTGGGAAATGTGTCGTTGTTACATTATTAAGGGACGGGGTGGGGGGGGAGACTCATATATCTGTGTTGTGCTACCACCCCATGTTAAGCCTGTGTCTGTTAATGAAGGATACATTAAAAAAGAGTGCTAATGAAAGATACATTAATGAAGTGGGCTGAAGTCAGATTTTCCACCTCTGGTACAGGTCCAATATGAGCAGTTATAAATATTCATACACAGGTGGGAATGTGATTTCACATTCAAGATGGGTCTGCTAGGAAGAGCTTTCCTCCCACATCCCTTCCTTTTCTTTTTCTTTTTTCTTTTTTTTTTTGTGTGTGTGTATGTTGCTTGAGAATACCTTCCAATAGTATTTCATAAGACACAAGTGAAGTTGGACAGGGATCATAAGGAAAGGTTCAACCTTGGGTCATTCAGACTATTCCTAACATGGGTTTACCAGGTGGCCTAAACCTCAGCTCTCAGGCTCATCCACTTGTCTTGGTATCTAATGGTAAGTGAGATTCCATCTTGTCATAAACTCCTGCTAGAATCTCAGCCCATAGTGGCTGCTGCCCTTCCTTGGACAGAAGATGGGTTCTAAATGTAGCTTGAAGCGTAGGAACACATTTTGTTACTGTGTCCTGCTCAGCTTGGTATCCCATCCCATGTTGCTGCTAACTCAGCCTAAATGTATTCTTTAGGACCAAGTACAAAAGAGATAGAAGTATTAAAACTTCTTACCTGGATATAGTGTAGTCTTTAGAAGTGGAAATATAACTGAAATGGTTGAACTGGACTTTGATGCTAGGTAAATAATCAGTAGATAAAAGTGCAGAGGAGAAATTCTGAAAAGAAAGCTTCTAAGAACATGGTCTGGAAAGAAAACTAGGCCTTTTTTTTCTTTTTTTCCCACGCAAGGGTGTTATTTAGCCCACAAGTTCCGAGTCCCAGAAGTGATGTGGTAAAAGCAGGTACAGTTTTATGCTGGTAGAAAGTTCTATTTTTTTTAAAGATTTTTTTAAGTACAAAAGTAATTTCATCTGCTGTTTATTCACATTAATACTTTGCTAGTAGCAAAGCAAGTTTTCATCTTGGTCTGTAGATCACTTGCATTTTTTGAAGCTGCACACCAAAATTGACCTAAGAAATGGGAATACTTATGTTTAGTATTAACTGGAAACATTCTCAAATTCCTCCTAAAGCAGCTTAGCCCTGCACAGCTTTGAACTAATGCGTGACTCCCACACTCACCTGTAATCCACCTGCCAGACCCCCAGCTCTTAGTCACATCTGTAATATTAACTCATTTTTATACTCAAATGTGGTTTTCATTATATTCCTCTAAAAAAACTCCACAGATGTGATCTAAACTTCAATTTGTTCTTGCTTTTAATTTCCCTTACTTAGCTTTTGCCCATTTTCTCTTGTATATCTGCTGTTTACCTCCTTTTATCTATGTCCATGTCTTTCTAATCTGTTCTTTCTCTGAAGTGCATGCTTTGTCTGTGAGCTTTGGCTACTTTCTCTCTTTTTTGGCTACTTTCTCTCTTTTTTGGCTATTTTCTCTGGTATTTGCATCAGCTGCAATATGAAGCAGCTGTTAGCTCAGTGTAGTCAGCCAGGGAAGCCTCGTTTGTTGTTGTTGTCCAGCACTGGAGGCCACAACTCCAAGCTCTAGTTTCTCTCCAATTGCCTTTTTCAAGTTCTCTCTTCTCACCCTTTTTCATCTCCTATTGTGTCTATTCTCCTTAGTTTTCCCCTCCCATCATCTGATTCTCTCCCCATCCCACCAGGCAGAGTGAGGAAGTGGCTGTGTGATGCTTACTTGCCGGCTGGGGTTGAACCAAAGACATTTGTTTGCTTTACTTTGTTTTTTTTCTTAACAGGAACAAAATCCCCATTACCCACCATTAACTGTTTCTTTCTCTTCAGGAGTCCTGGACTCCCCGGGATCTGGGTAAACACAAGTTATTTTCAGAATGGGTTACTATGTACCTCTTGAGATTGAATTGGTAAGTCTGAGGCAGTTTCAAGTGTAAAAATAACACCAGATGTGTATTTGCCAAAGCAGGCAATGTTAAGCTGCAGCGATTTTCCAAAATCTTTAGCAGATCTGGTAAACTGGCCCAAACATGATTTCATATGCCTTTTTTGTCCTTATGGTTCTAGGTTGTGCTAGATTTCAGAATAATTACTATTGTAGTTCTGTTTTGACACAGAGATATACATAAAAATGACATGGGAGGAGTGGTCTGTACTTTCCGTCCTTCACTGAGCAACTGATGAGATTTCTTTGGTTAACAATTTTTGTTAAAATACCAGCTGTGATAAATTTGTGAAATTTGCCTGTAAAATACAATGAGCAACTGAAAATCTGTAGCCAAATGGGAATGAAGGAAATGCAGGATCTGATCAAATTCTTCACAAGAGATATTATAAGCTTCAACATTGTGCTGCTTTGCAGGGTCTTTTAGTCTCATTTCTAGTGGAAATGGCTGTGCTCTTTTGTTAGATATTTCTCACAATTTTACTTGTATTTTAGGAAGTTAATATAAGAACAGTTACCAAGAAGGAAGGTTTGGTTTAGCACTGGGTTTTGATAGGGTTAAGAAGTTTCAACTTTGGGACTCTGAGGCTCTTGGCTATTTTCCTTAGCTAAAATTTGATGCTGAAAAGTGTCTAAGCACACTTCATATTTTTCCGTGGCTTTTGAATCTGCTTCTAGAGAAGATCATGACGTTCTGAGTTTTTATTCCAAATCAGAAAGGATCCTAGTTTGGGGATGGTCTTCTGCAAATCAGCATCATGTTTTTCCACATGCATCCTGTGGTATAGAGGACAGACAAAACAAGGAAAAGGTTTTGCTTTCAGGATCACAGTAGTTCTAGTGGTCTGTTTTGGTAGCAGTCCAGACTTGATATGCAAAGATTCATGGTTATGCTAGTTAAGTTTTCTTCCATATAATTGGTCATCACAATATATCCATACAGCAGAACTGCAGAAATTTGTAACAGGCTACTGATGTTAATTTCTTTTTGAAATTTAATTTTACTTTTAAAACCCAACAGATCTTGTCACATTTTTGCTAGCTGCTCCATAACAGTGTGGCTGAAGTTTTTTTATGGAGTTCTTTTCTTGCTTTTGTTCTCTTTTGCATCATACATTTAAATAGATCTCTTTGATGTCCCTTGTGGTCTCTTTAAATTGTGTTTTGTTTCTTGTTTAGTTGTTTTGGTTTGTTTTTTTTTGTTGTTTAAGTATTTACTTGTAACAGCTGTCTCGTCAGTACAATTTGCAGCAGAAAGCTGGCTCAACTCAGTCAAGTGTTCATTTTTATCCACCATTTTATGTTAAAGACAAAACCGTCAGCTCTTTAGACTTCTATGTGGGTTGGTAAGTCCCACTAAATTTCATATTGCTGTCTTTAGTACTGACCGACCTTGAATACATTGCCATTACACCTCATTATTCATCACCTTTCCCTCATCATTACTAAGTGTAGTAAAATATCTTACTCCTCAAAGTACCTTACCTTGAGGCACTGAAGCTGATCACTTATTATCTTTTTTCTTTCTTCATTTACTTTTTAGTTCTTAGCAGCACTTTATCTTGTACTGCCTAAACTTAGGAGTTGTTCAAAAAGTTTTGACAATCCAAATCCCAATACAAGTCTTTAATTGTATTTCTTTACAAAAGAAACAGGAAAAAAAAAATGTAGACCAGATTATAAAATCCTCATAAGGGCACAAAATGTCTTCTGCTTTGTCCTTTTCTTATCTGGCTTGTCTTACTCTTTCATAATTATCTTGTCATTTGTTTTAATTAGATACTTTTAATGCCTTTGTGAAACTTGACAGTTTTCTATTGTTAAGAATATATTTCTGGGCCAAATATTCTCCTCTAGTATGAGTCATGGGTTTAATGTGAGTTATGTTTTTTTTTTTTGTATGAGTCATTTGTTAACTTCTCCACCTTTTAAATATTCTTTTTATATTGTTACCACACTTTGTTATTGAAAACCCATTTACCAGATGAAATCAAAAACTTGGCCAGAGCAGATTATTTTGCCAAGTAGGAAAACACTGTTCTTCAGCAGTTAGACTATGTAGAGATTATCAGGGTTCCAAACAGCTGGTTGTATTTTTTGGCTTTTGTTTAATATCTGGGAGTACATGCAGAACAGGGGTAATGTGAACATGAAGAATGTCTGTATCTGGATGGGTTGCACCTCTGCCTTTTTCTCATGGAAGTCAGAACCTGGATGTTGTGGTGGAATGTTCTATTACCTGTGCAGCTTTTATAAAGGAGGGAGTGGAAATGCCACCTGAAGTGCTTCTGGTTTCGGGCCATATTCTGATTTTGTAAGAGAGCTTCACCTTGTCCTTTCTGGCAGGAACATGGGCAGCCAGAGTCCAGCATGTACAGCATAGGGTGACTTTTTGTCCTTTACTTTTCTAAATAAAATAAAGACCCTTTGCGTAATGCTTGTGTATGTCAAATCTTGTGGTTTAAAATGGCTATCATTCTGTTTCAAACAGAATTTAATTGTATTGGATACATAAAATAATCATGCATTACTGATTACATAGCTTCAGTAAATTCTAGTTTGTTGGCTGGTTAAATGGTGCTTTTTAGAAGCAGTGCTTTATTACAGAGGAGTCTGTTCACTGTGCTAGGCACTAATTCTGTATGGGGAGCTATTAAATATGAATAAAGTCCTGTGATTGTCTAACCACAGAACCTTAGGAAGAGCCAGTCAGAGCTGTTCTCAAAGACATCAATTGTCTTGGTAGTCAGCTAGGATAAACAAGTTATGTTTGCAAGCTGAGGAAGCAGTAAAAGGAGATGCAAGAATACAGTGTATTGGGAAATGGAAATAGATTAAGTTTAATCCTTTTATCCAAATATTGTTTCTGATCATCTCCCTCCTAATATGATTTATTAATCACATCGTAACTAATTGGTTAGAGAAATTTTATTTACTAATTGAGTAGAGAGAAATTTGGGATGGTGATTTTGATGAATATTCTGCTTTCTCTAAAATCATCTTTCAAATACGCTGTAAGGATATTTACAGAAATATTTTATAAATATATATGTATATTTTTTTAAAGAAACATATAAAAGTAACATTTATGCAAATAAAACCTGCTGAGACACAAATGGAAAGAACAGTATAAGTTTGTGTATGTCCAAAAATAACAGACTTCCGGTTTCAAGTCCATGGGTGAAATGTCTCTGTTATCACTAATTCATCTCTTCATAATAATCAGCTACTGGATTTGGCAAAATATGCAGACCCACGTCAAATTAAGATTTGCAATGCAAGTTTGAAACGTTTGTTACAGTTAATCAGTAACATTGTTTTGTTCATTAAAATGAAAACTTTCTGAAGTAGAATGCTAGGCTTTAATTGCAGTTGACTGACATTATCTGCTAAAAAATCGATAATAAAAGCCATGTGTGCTTATGAGAATCCTCTTTGGCATACAGTTTGACAGGATGCCTTTTATGAGTTCTTAGTTGCTGTCCTGTAACATGTAGCCTGGTTTACTAATTCAGCAGTTTCATTTTCTATCCCTTCAATTTCCCTACTGCTGTTTAGACACAGCCTGGCACATGCGAGAGATGCAGTGCAGTGGTAATCAGTGTTTCCAAAAAGATACAGCAGACAGTTAGGAAAAATCTGGGGAACCTCCCACTATCCCTAACAAGAAATTAAAAGGAAAGTTGATAAAGTAGTTTCTAAAAATACAGCAGAAATAAACATTAGAGGCTTTTATGGCTAAAGTTTTGATACATGATACAGAAAAAGGGATATCTAAGTACATATACTTTAATTGCTATCTTAATAATTCCTATTCAAATTAAGTAATGTAAGACTAATTTTTATGCTCTCCAGGAAGGTACTGACAACACTGAAATATGCTTTCCAACAATATAGCAGGCACCAAAGCCATGGTAAACTCATCACATTTGAAAAGTCTGCAGGTGTTCACCACAGGAAATCCTTTGTGTATCAGTGCGATGTTCTGTATTACTGTAGTCTTTGTTTGGTACTTTGACGCACTGATTATGCAAGTTAAAAAAGTTCCTTTAACAGCTCATCAAAATAAGTAGATTAGTTCCTTTTCCTTTTTATGCATTTTTTTTCCTTGATCTGCAGATTAAACCTTCTTGAAGATTTCAATGACATGTTTCAATGACTGTGTTTCCTCTTGTTGAATATGTCTAACTAAATTTAACTGAATATACTTTTGGTTTCAGCTGTTAATCCTAGGAACTGGATGGCAGAATCAGCAGTGCAAAAACCTAATTTGAATGATTTCTCAGAGGTAAAATTATTTCATTCTTTCCTGACATATTTATTAATAATTGGCATAATTATTAATGAAAGAGTTGTTGCATTTACTTTTTGAACCAATACTACACTTTGATCAACACTGTACCAATACCAATTACTATTAACAATACTAACAAAAGTAGTAATAGTATTATTTATAAATAGTAGCAACTATATTAATAGTAGCATTAATAATAGTAAGCAAACTTTAAGTATAAAAATAGTAAGCAAAAATAATAGTTTCTGGAGCTAGGAGGGTGCATAATATGAAGTGGAAGAAACTTTTCTTGTTTTCAGGAAAACATTTTGCATAAAAACTTACCCATTTTAATTACTTACAGGTTTGTCTGCTACAGCAGATCTTACAACACCCCTTACAGAGACAGCAGGCTGCAGTGAGAGCAGGTTACTCCCAGCTTGGGCCAAGGATCTTAAAGTGAGCTGTTCATCCTGAGAGAAAACTGACCAAGCAAGAAAGATGATCGAGATAGACTGAAGCTCAGGCCTTCAAACAGGATCAGTGGATCAAGCCACAGGAACTTTTCTCCCTTACACTGTGTGGACTGAAATCTGGTACTCTGCTAGCCAAGACAAAGTTGTCTTAGCAACTTTATAAAAGATTAGAGAAGGGGACCACTATGTATGGTTGCATCAACAAATTATATTGGCGTTTATAACTCTGCCTTTTCTCTTCAGTTGTGCATTTATTTGAGTCCCAATATTTAAGTTCTCCCAAGCCGTCACACTTAACCTCTCAGAGTTCATGGCTGATCAGGTGGGTCTCAATAGCTTCTAATGGCTGGTCCATTTAAAATCCATCTAAGCTACTTTTAATAATACGGTATTTTGATGAATGTTTTCCTTGCTGTTACACACTGTTCAAATACAATTGTATTCTGAAGATATAAATGTTCTTAAATCTTTTGCAGAGACAGAACAGAGGATCATCTTACACTTAGACCTTGCCACCTTTTCTCTTTCTGACCTTGTTTTGTCCCATTAAACTGCCAAAAAAGATTTAAAGGAAATCTAATTAAATAATGAGCAAAGATGTCTGTCTTGGAAGTGACTTGCCTACAAATAAACTGTGGTGCCTTTGCCAGTGTCAGGTGCCAGTCAAGCCTGGTCCACTGCTCTTTGAAAGTCTATCTTTTGATAGTATTAGAAAGATTGTTGGCACATGGGTATAAAGCCTCAGGAAATTTTCACTGCTTGAACCTGGAAAAGGGCTTTCTTGGAAGTATCTTACTGTATATGTAGTTGAGTCAATGTGCCTTTTGTATCCAGCCACCTGATGCTATGAGGAACTAACAAAAGTCTTGCAGGGCAAGTATTTAAAATTCAGCTGGAGCTGCTATATAGAATCCTATGAGTAACAGGGAGAGACTAGTCTGAGTCCTGTGTCTCATTATTTATCCTTTTTTGATATTCCATTTTCACAAAACTTAAACCAAAATTAATACATAAGGAAGCAGGTTCAGTGGTTATGCTTGAAAATTGACAGTAAAAATAACTTATTTGGGGGCTTTGTTACTTCTTGACATGACCTTTACTCTTCCCAAAGCCAAAATCTCCAAATGTCTTGAGTGCCACTTTAATTTTGAAATAGAGGCTATTAAGTGGTGTAATCACCATTTCACAGATCTATCTCTAGAAACATAACTACAGTGGAAAAAATACAGTATTAGAAATTATTCAGAATGGTTTCCTCTCAGAAATATAGTTGTTCAAATATAAATACAGTTGTAATGTAAGTAATAGTATCATAATGTGAGGCATAGTATAGGTATTTAAATATTTTTCTGAAAGTCCAATGAAATTTGAGCAAGTGACACAGGTTCAGCCTGGGTTAGCTTCTTTTTTGCAGGTCAGAAGTGCTCTTCTGCAACCATTGCGATACTGTTTGAGCTGGCAACACTTCAAGATAAAAGGAGTGTGCTGGGGGGGGGGGGGGGCTGCGTTCTCAACCTAGTGCAACATTGCTGTTGATGTCTTTTCACAGATATGTACAAGCAAAACAGCATGTTGTGATGAAATCTGTGAATGCCAGCATTACCACCTGCAGTGGAACGAGTTACACTGCACCTAAGTGATGATTGGAAGGTGAATGTATTTGTGCCTGCAGGGTAAATACAGCACCACTACAGCTTGGACCCTGGTTTCCAGTTAGGTGAAAGGAAAGAACTCTGTGCTGAACCAAACATCTGTTTAAGATAATTTTGTGTGTGAGCCAAACATGACTGCCTGTACATCTTCACCTCATGGAGTAACTGTGTAAGTACAAAGCATTTTTATACTGCTTTTTCCTTCAAAGTGTTTTGTAAATGTTAAATCCTGTTAGTAACAGCAGCAAGTGGAGCTGTATTTCACCCATAGTTATATGTAAAGAAAACTTCCCAGCATCACAATATAAAACCAGAACATCCTGAATGGGAACTCTTTTTACAAGCAGTGATATGTACTTCCCACTGTGCTCATTGTGAAGCTTTTCTCAGGTTCTTCAAAACCATCTGAAAGAATGAAGCAAGCCCTGAAAATTGGTTTCACATATTCCTTTGGTTGCAGGGAGTAGGTCAGCTACTTCTCCAGGAGTTCATTCATGGATTCAGTCATGTATGTCCTCTTACCCTGTTTTACTGGCATATCTGCCATTTTTTTCTCCCTGGTTTTACCATGCAGATCAGATTACCTGTTTTTAGTAACTATTCTAATTTTGTAATAGTCAGTACTGACTGTTAATGGTGATAAAACTGTCTTAGAATATTCTGCAGGACCATGAGAATTCATAAGCCTTAACAACACTGAATCTATAGCAATAGGACAAGGGGCAATGGGTTTAAACTTAAACAGGGGAAGTTCAGGCTGGATATAAGAAAGTTCTTTACTGTGAGGTGGTGAGGCACTGGAACAGGTTGCCCAAGGAAGTGGTAAATGCTCCATCGCTGGCAGTGTTCAAGGCCAGGCTGGACAGAGCCGTGGGCAACATGGTCTAGTGTGAAGTGTCCCTGCCCATAGCAGGGGGGTTGGAGATAGATGTCCTTCCCAACCCAAACCATTCTATCATTCTCTCTCTTCACTCTCAAACAGAAAATGCATGTTTCCCAGTTACTTTGAGACTGCCAATAACAACCCATAAATAATACTTCTCTCCTATAGTTTTGCCACATGAGCCATTTAAGTTTCTACTTTTCCACTCTCAGTGCCTGACAGTGCGTGAAAACCACACGCAGAATAGTTATCTCAACACTACCTTTTAACTGTGTTTTGTAACAGTAGAGAAACAAGCCCACGTCATGCTCAGCATTTAGTACCACCTCCCTTTCCACTTCTAGGTTTTCATCATTACGGTTTATTATGACAATGTAAGCATTAATACTGTGTTTCATGATATATTCCCTAAAATCCTTGGCTTCCACCTGTGGTTCTGGAGCTGCCTCTTCCTTCACATTACATAAATACAGCAGTGGATGCAAGAGCAGATGGGGAATAGAAGTACCGTGGCTGGTAATCAAGGAGGCGTTTACCTGGACTCTCTTCCTCTTTCTGTAGCAGAGGCCAGATCTGAGGAGTAGTGGTATTGACCCCTCACATGTAGGTTTTTCCACACTAACCTTTCTAATCCTAAGGACTGATGGAAAAGCGGTCGCTTGAAGTTGGTCCTTCTACATCAGTGATGTAAGAGTCCAAAGATGACAGCTGCTGAGACTGCTTCCAGTTGAGGTATGGAGAGAGGTTAAAAATAACATGCTGCAATTTCAAGTCTTTTCACACGAAAATACTGTAATCTCCAGTAGTATACATACTATGGCAGTCTGCAGTAATTGGGCAATTTCATGTGGCAGTAGGTTAGATAGAGGTAGAAAGATTAATTTCTATTTTTTACAAATCCTTTGATTTACAGTCTTGGAAAGAAAGATCTTTTTGTACTTTGCAGCATATTTTTATGCCAAATAAAGCCAGATAATTGTGTATCATTAAGATGGTAGCTGTGTTCGCTGAATGGAGTTTGAATGCTTACATTTCAGAAATTCAATGCAAGCATGTACATACACAAAATAGTTGATAGAGGTCTAATCATCACATCATTTTAATTGATTTCTGGAGTTTTCTGTGGGTTTCTTTTTGTTTTGAAGAAAGCTTAACTTTTTCTTTTGTGTAAGATTGTGTGAGTTATGATTGACTGCAGATGTAAAATGTATAAGATTGAGTTTATTGTGCTGTAACAAAAGAGAAGGGACGAAATAGGGCAGGAGGCTTAGCATTCTAGTAAGGAGAGTGAATGCTGGGAAAGCCATGTGGAAGTCTTAGCTCTCTGAACGTAAAGAAACCAGCTTATTGTGCAACATTTTTCTATGGATATGTCCTGCTTTAGTTCGATGCTGGGTGTTTATTTCATAAAAGAAAATTCATTTGGTTTAAAAATAATTGGATAGCAGACAGCTGTTGTCACCCAAGTGTGCTGAAGATGTGCACTCCTAATACCTTGTCAGAAAATGACACCCAGCTCTTTAGCATTCAATGATCTACATAATGCTTACCTCAGCTACATATAGAAAGCCACTGGAAAAAAATAATCTGTTTTTCTGAACCCCTAGTTTTAACCCTCCTACTTTTAGCTAGTTAGTATTTTTTTTTTATCCTGCACTTGGAACTAGGGCGTGAACTAAGCTTATGGGCCTTGCACTCATCCTTCCAGGAGCCTGTCCTTTCACTCTTACTGCTTTGAGCAGGTACTACCAGCTCTTCTTGTGTTGAGATGGTCATGTTTTGCCTTTCATTGCTCCAGCTTATCAGGGACTGGTTCCCAGATACTGAGTGTTTGTGGTTTGTGCTTTATCATAGCAAAGCCCTGGTCTTTGCCATCTTGTAGAGGACTACACTCATGCAGCCACGAAAAAGTGCAAACACAGTAGGGACCAGCCAAACAAACGTGGGGCAGGCCAGCCAGTACTGGTGCCTGTACTTGGATAACAGGGCGGCTCTTTGTGCTGTGACCTTGCGGATAACGTGGAAGATGATGGTCCACACCGCATAGGTGAAGTGGCACCTCAGTTAGTGTCACACCTTCAGATTCTACCAGCAACATTTTCATTGATGTCAGTCAGTGCAGAGACTGCAAGGTGTCTGTGTGGGGGTGAAGGCCAGGCTTTGATAGCCTGATGCACCTTGGAGAGCCAAAAAAGTCCCCTACTTCTTCTGGGTTGGTCAGATGCTTCACCTAAACCAAAGACCCCACTGGAGCGGAGCCAATGCAGGAGCATGCAGTGTAGCTGTACTGGGATGGTGGAGAGGGGGTAAGCTGGCTTCAAACTGCAGCAAAGAGATTTCTAACACATACAGACAAAACCTCTTTAAAATATTTGAAGTGGTACCAATTGCCAGTAAAATGCCTGTTCATTAACTACAACACTTTGTGCAGATATAAAATAGAAGCTATTTTTATTTGAGAACTAATAATGACTGCTGCCTAAATGAACAACGGAGAATTAAAATGGGAGAACAAATGGAAAAAAAATGTAGGAGGAGACATTCAGATCAGGTACAAGTTAATTACAAAGTCTTTGAGAAGATAGACTATTTCTAGGTACAGTCTGAAGACAAATGTTAACCAACAGTAAAACCAAAATCCTGCTTACCACGAGAAACACAAGATTTTGAACTAAATTCTTCTTTGTCTAAGATTAACCAAATTAAATCTGATTTAAGGCAGCAGCTGTGAGTGCTGACAAGTTAGGACTGGAGTTGCATATGGAAGGAGGAGTTATACACATTTGGGGTGACCATCTCTGGAAATGGCCCTGGTCCTGCCTTGCATCTCAGAATGATCTAGCTGAGGTTTTGCTTTTAAAGACAGACTATTTTTGAAAAACATTGGCATCTTTTTTATTGAAAAAAAACCAAAACATCAAGACCCCCACAGTTGGGGGTTTTCTCATAAAGAACCGTTAAGGGACATTCTGTGAAAAGGGATCTTTGCACTTCTCAAAATTCACACAACACTGTTGCTATTTTTGTTCAGTTCCAACTCTACTAGAGAGGCAGGCACAGTGTTCCCTCACTGGCTGGCTCTGTGAGTGCTGCTCCACCACCCCTGGCTGTCCTTATGGAGTGAAGCAAGACTAGAGCCAATTCTTACCTCAGTCTGATGGCAGAATGGTAGCTAATAATGGAGGGGTAGGGGCAGAAGAGGCAAGTTACAGGGACAAAGAGGTGGAGAGAGGGCACCCCATCTTACTTCCTGAGACCCTCCCAGGAAGGAGAACTCCTCCTGGAGAAGCCTGATCCAACACAACTTTACCATGCTGACTCACAAACAGCTATGGCTTGAAGTTCACCTGCTTCCAGAGTTCAGGAGTTGCTGCCCCTTTTCTTCTCAAGAGCTTTCATTAGGTCAGACATGAAATCTGCCTGCCTGCCTCCACCCCCAGTTGGAAGTGGCCCAGCTGACCGTGGCTCTCCAGCTTGTCCAGTGTTTTCCAGCCTTTTTGATGGAAGTGGCACAGGTTTCTTTGGTGGCTTAGTGGAGACGGGTGGAGGTGGAGGGGGTAATGGCACATCTCCATTGCTGCTGCTGGAGGCTGGTGGTGGAGGCACAAAATCAGGAGGAGGTTCACAGAAATCAGATGGTGGTGGTGGAAAATCAACCTTCAATGCAGGTGGTGGTGCTGGAAAGGTGTCTGGATCTGTTAGGAAAATGCCGCTGTCTCTTTTGACTTTGGAGGGTAGAATTGGTGAAGCAGAAATAGCAGATGACCGCCTTTCTGGTGGAGGAGGAGGCGGCTGCAGCAAGTTCCTCTTACTCTGGAATTTCTGTGGCCTCATCACTGGCTGTGCCAGGCCAGGTACACTGATGTTATTTGAGTTAGCCTTTAATAAGCAGAAGGAATAAAAGGATAATACAGAGTCAGTGCACATACAAACTAATGCCACTGCTTGAGAACAGTGAAAGATGTGAAAATCCATGAGAAGACTGCAGCGGACAGACAGCAAAATGAAGTATGGTACATTTTGCCTGAAGAGTGCCAATAGTATTTTGTTTTCTTTCTGGAGCTGCCCACAGACCTTTAACAGTATTCATAATGCTTTTGAGTGCTGTCCTCAGAAACTGAGTGCTTTTAAAATCTCAAAGAACTGCAGTTACTAAGACATGTAAAGATGTTTTCTTGATCTTCCACCCTGCTGTTTATTCCCTGAGAACATGAAGACTTAAATAAAAATAAAATCTGTGCTGTGTTTTTACATCCAAAAATACTGAGCAAGATTTGAGAACATAA